TTCTTCGAGGACACTTTGATTTGTTGATGAAGTTCTTTTCTGTTTATCAAGCTGTGTCAACGAGCACACGTCACATTTGTGCATCCTCAGAATGTTGTGGTCCCAATGCCTGATTGCCACCTCTAAAGAGTCTAATGCATCCTTTACGATGGGCGTAGTAGCATATGGACGCCTTTGTGGTTCTCTTGCATTATCTTTAGAACTTGTGGCTAGTTATAGCTAGGAGTTGTGTAAAATTACAATTTAAGCTAAATAAAAGTCACTAAAAGTTTTTTAGTCATCTTTTCATCATGGATACTTTGAAGACTGTCATGGCAAGGATAAAATGCAATAATTGCATTAAAACATGATATGAGTCCACACCAAACATGTGAGGAAATATTATTTAATAAATATTGTACTGTTGCTGGTCCATATTTTTCCTTGATCTGTAATAGATATTTGGGATCATCTTCCTTTTAATTTCCATCTGAAAGGACTTATTTTCCCCGGAAATTCCACTGTAGGGCTCTTTGTTGCTAGATAAATGACAAACAGGTAAATTATCCTACGCCAGTGATTCATAAAGTTTATTCGACTTAATTAAGTTTAAGAAAAAAGGGAAGTATATGGTTCATGTTTGATTTTGCAGGCTAGAAGGCAAGGTTGCTGTAATAACTGGTGGCGCCTATTTTCTTGTCTTTGTGAGCTAAGTGAAGCAATCGCCTCTTTCTTCTCTTCTCTTTGTGAGCTACAACCTTCATTATTCTTTGTCTGTTTGAGAAGGCTCTTTGTGAGGAACTCATCTTGGACAACCTTTATGGTATTGTTTGATTAAGTTTTAAGTTTGAAGTAACCTTGTGGTGTGTGGATTTAAATTGAGCTCTAGCCTCTAAACGACTAAATCTTTGTGGTCATCAAAGGTGTTGTATTTTGCACACATTGAAGTTCTTGTTGGTGTATACTATTCAACATAAGTAATGGTCTTAACAGTGTTCGGACAGTGCTGCATTGTCAAAAATAAGCACTCTTGTCTTTGCTTCAATTATTAAGCAATGATACACGTTTAAGACAGCTGATTCGTGAAAGACACAAAGGTTTGAATGAATATTTACTTTGAATTGAACTTCATGTGCCTAATCTAGAACAAATTAAAGTTCTCTCTCTTGAACGTGTATGCATGTCTTAGAGATTCCTGGATCTAACTATTGTTTAAAAATTCACTTATTTAAGATTTGAGTAAAATCCAATTTTTTCGAATCATACATTTCCTAGAATTACTTTTATTTACAAATGTGGCGCCTATTTGATCCACATTTTTTAAAACTCACATTTCCTCAAAATTATTTCCAACCACACAGTTCACGGGATTTACAACTTTTATCAACTTTTTAACCATACATTTTGCCCTTGTTTGGTGCACATTTTGGGAGTAAGAATGTATTTTTACTGTTGATATGATGAGGAATATGTTGTTAAAAAAGAAGGAAAAGTTATTGATGTGATGAAAATTATTATTTTATTGAAAAATGTGTGATTAAAAATGAGTAGAAGAATGAGAAAAATAATGTGGATCATGTTGATCCCAAAGACAATTTGTGGTTCGATTTGTAAACAAAAACAGAAAAGAAAATAGCAAAAAATAACAAGAATCAATACAAGATTTTTCGACCCAAAGGCCCTGAGGTTCGGCGACCACTTCTAATGCCTAATCCCTGTTGAGCATCCGTAAGGAATACGCTCAAATCCACTAGAAACACCCCAAAAATAGGCAAAAAAGGGTAACAAGTATACAGCTCAAAAACTGCAAGAACTCAACAATAACAGCCTTCTCACTCAACAAAAAGCATGAACTCACACAAGAGTTCATAATCACTCTCCTATCTCACAAGAAATCACAAAAGATTTAAGAAATCAATTTTTTACACAGAAAGAGAACAAGTAGTAAAGAGAAAATTGATGCTGCACACGTCAAAGAGAATGATGAAGATGAGAGGGTTAATTACCCCATTAGTCACTGGACTTTGGCCAAAGTTTCCACCAGGTCACTGAACTTTCAAAAAATTATCCCATTGGTCACTGAACTTTAACAAT